GTATGTGTGGTATGCACTAATCCTCACACAAAGCCGCAGCTGTCAACGGTTCCGGTGCGAAGGGGTTGATAAGTAGGTGTGCTAAAAAAGTTTCCAGAATGCTAGTGTGTTGCTCTTTACTTCCCTACTTTACACGTTTACCCAAGAAATTTGTCTCTGTGTTAGGACCAGGCCCCCTTGGCAACTTTTAAACGGAGCCCTTGTTATTGCCTTAAAATATGTAATCTGCAAATACGTTATTTGCGTAACTTCATTGACTTATAAATGTGCCATCCCACGGACTGAAATACGCCATCCCACGGACTGAAATACGCCATCCCACGGACTGAAATGCGCCATCCCACGGACTGAAATACGCCATCCCACGGACTGAAATACGCCATCCCACGGACTGTACCGTTTTGAGGGAAGATTGCCACAAGAAAATGAAGCTAAATCATGTCCTTGTCGTTGATTCTTTGTGGACTCAGTCTGCAGAGACGATTCGTGAGCTGGAGCAACACGTCCAGGACCTGAAACAACAGCTGCAGGAAAGTGAACATCGCCGACAGCGAGAACTCAGGGTAGGAAGTCATAAATGCATACCTCCGATCATGGATACGGTTTTTTGTTATACAAAATATCATGTGATACACAGAAGGTACAATGAGCCCCGAGCTGGACCAGGAGAGGGCGCAATTTTCCAAGCAAGTGAGGCTTCTTTGGTCAGAACTGCATTTTGCTGGTTCACGAACGACTGTGAAATGCGTGCGTTATGGTTGTGTAGCTACCGACAAAATGAACGCTGCCGACCAACCTGGCTCTGTTCAACCAATGAGGGGGTGCTTCTGCTCAAGGCGGATAGATCTAGTGTTGAATACATTGAGGCATGGAGCTTAGAGTCATCTATGCTCAATTTACAAGAAAACTGTTTGACATATTCTTGATGTCATTTTGCCAATGACTGGAGCATGTTTTCTGTCGTTTAGAATTATAAGAATGATGCCATGAACAACACGCCAATGTGGTCTTACCTCGGACAAATGTGAATTTTAATAATACACAACAGTAACTCATCCTGAAATAAGAGAAAGGGAGTGTTTTGAAATGTTAGATTTGCCAAGAATAAGTGCTTTTTATTCCCAGTATTTATTGGTGTCAAGCAAATATGATGGCATTGAAGTCGATAAGAGGCACAAGTAATTACGTTGTATTTGGGTCATATTTAAATTTTGGGTTCACACAAGGATCTGGAGTCTATGCTAAAACAAGATAAACTTCACCAGGAGAATCTTCACGAGAAGCAGATATTGAGCTTGAGGTCGGAGCTGGAAGGAGAAAGACAAGACAATCACAACAAAATCCTGAAAGTTCAACAAGCAATCAGGTACACTTCCGGTCCGTCATGTAACACGACAGTCGATAAGTTTATAGCCTATTACCTGATGAGTTAATGACTACTCTTCATGTACACCATGTCTACCTTTTTCAAAGGTTGCCAGACACTGATATCTCAATTGCTGGGCCGAGTCAATTTGACTAATTCACTATTTGAATATTCGACTCGAAATTCGATCGAATATCCAAATATTCGGTCGTACCAACTGGCAGATTGTTGATGAATAAACCATTTCTACAAAATCAGTTGCAATAACACACACCATTGTACATTATAATCAATAAAATAGCTTCTCACATCTAGAACTATCACCTGTCATGATTTAGCAAGATTTAAGATACGAACAATACCTTTTGCCTTGTTGAAAATTTCTATTCCATTAATGAATAATTTACTTTTTGAAATATACTCTGTTGCTTTTCATTAGAATCTGCTTGAAACAAGTCTCCATAGTGCAATTTTCTCATTTAAAACAAAAGAAAACTCTCCCTTCCCTTTCATGACTTTTAAATTCAAGTATTTGAATTCAGATAATAATATTCGATAAATCGATTGGATATTCAGCACAGCCCTATCAATTTCCTTGAAGAGAAATTTGAAAACTGTGTCATTTGGAATAACAAATGCAGGGAACGTGAATGGAAATACAGGATTTGGAGTTGGATGTCACAGATTCACGTGAGAACATCTTCAGGAAATCTTGAGAAAAACCTTCAAGTTACAAAACTGTTAACATCTGCGAATGCCTTGTTCACCTAGGGATAAGGATGACCAGTTAGAGAAGTCGGCCGAGTTGCGGAAGATGCAGACGCAGCAAGCCGAGAAAGCGCTGGAAGAGTTCAAGCTGCAGGTGGAGCAGAACTCCAGCAGGATGTTTGAGGACATGAAGGCACAAATGCAGAAAGTGGAAGCTGATCTCCTTCAATCCAAAGATCTGCGACAGACGCAGGCGAAGGAGTATGCCAGGCAACTAGACCAAGAGCGTAAGCGCTTTGAAAAACAGGTAAACGGGAACAAATTTGCTCTAATTCAATGTCGAACAAGTCAGCATTGTTGGAAAGTTCCAGTTGCTATTAAAAGAGTGATGCTTCTCATTTGAATAGTATGGTGCGCCAAAGAGGTCAGATGGGGTACTATTGAGTGTTCTTTGATATGTCAAGATAATACTAAGTCTTTTTAGATGAGATGAGGTGATGTCTCTTGTTCTCTGATAGAATGTAACAATGGCAAGTGTTCTTTGATAAGACTGGGCAGTACCAATTAGGGCTTAGCCAATTTGAATAATTTACTACATGTATTCGAATATTCAACCTTCAGTTTGATCGAATATCTGAATATTCAATCCTACCGACCGGCAGATAGTTGATGAAAAAACCATATGTATAATCAGTTGCAATAACACAGACAATTGTACGTTATAATCACTATCCAAGCCTCTCATGTCTAGGAGTACATGTATCTCCAGCCGTGATTAGCAAGATTTAACAGACCAACAGTGCTTCTTGTCCTGTGGAAAATATCCATTCCTTTTAAATTTTTAATGAATATTCTACTTTTTGAATTATTGAAAGATTTCTGTCGCTCTTCTTTTGAGTCTGCTTGAAAGAAGCCACTATAGTGCAATTTTTCTCATTCTAAACAAAAGAAGAAACAAAATGAAGTTTGCATTCGGATATTCAAATTTGGGAAATACTATTTGAATATTCAATAATTGATTGAATATTCAGATATTCAGCATGGCCCTAATACCTAGGTTATGAGGAAAAGTGTTTTATTTACAGCAGCAGGAGAAGAATCGTGTACTCAGTCGACAGTGAATCATCTCCATTAACCCCTTCACTCCGGGAGACGGCAAGAGCCGCAGCTTTGTGTGAGGATTAGTGCATACCACACATACAGTCTATTCACCAAGCAGCTGCTGATGCAATGTGGGGCCTGCTGCTGGACAAAGCCCTCCACTCAGGGCATGCCACAGCCCAGCAGTCACGGTCAAAAGAATCCCGGCGTGAAGGGGTTAAAGTCTTATTAACATTTGGAAAACTCAAAATGAGCATGCGGACATTTTTTGTTTGCAGTTTTCTGAGCAGGAGGCCTTGCATAACGAGAAGTTGAGCCAACTCGTACAACAGCATCAAATGGAACAGGAATCGATGCAGCAAGAACATGAACGGATCCTGGCAGGCAGCACAGGCAGGCTGCAAAGCCGGATAGACGAAGAACGTAATCAGAGTGTACAGCGACAAGACCAGGATGCCACGGTAGGCAAACACACACCAGTCCTGACGAAGAATTGAAAATGAAACCGAGCATCTCTTATGAAAACCACCACAGGATCAGCAATTTTCCTTACAATCAATGGTGTCACTCTGCAGCTCCACGAGATTCTTGAAACTGGAGTTTGGAAAAGAGAGGTCATCTCTTTGGGTCATTTTTCTAGGATTTCTTCTATTCACAAAAAGGTTCATTTACTAGAGCTGTTGGCATTGTGGATTGGATTCTAAGGTAATAAGAGAGCTGGAGCAGCAAGTCCGTGAGCTGAGACAGGCAAATATGCAGAATGATTCTCTCCGCAAGCAGCAACTTGTTGAATTGGGATTACTGCGAGAAGAGGAGAAGCAGAAAGCACACCGGGAGAGCGAGACAGCCGTAAGTTACCTCCAACCCTTTCCTCCATCCCTTTCTTCGTTCTGTGTGGAAAACTGGATTGCAGTATGAGCCAGAACCTTGCTGTGTAAGACAGCCTGTCTTGAACAGAATATTGGGGGGAGGAGCCTGACTATAGCATGGCTTGTCAGGGACAGTTTGACTATAGCATGGCTTGTCAGGGACAGTTTGACTATAGCATGGCTTGTCAGGGACAGTTTGACTATAGCATGGCTTGTCAGGGACAGTTTGACTATAGTATGGCCCACCTGTGACAAAATAGGGATAGTGTCTCTATAGCACGCCCCGTCAGGGACAAGATATCAGAGGCAGGTTGACTATGGAATGGCTTGACAATAGTAAGGTACACTTGGGACATAACACCAAGTACAACTGGACTATGGCATGGCCTGTCATCAGGGACAGCCTGATGTCGGTTGTTTAGATCATAGGAAGACTAGACGCAAGACAATACTGGGACAACCTGACCATAGTACTGCCCATCATCAGGCATCGCCGGACTATAGCATGGCCCACCAGGGATATCCATACTATAGCATGGCCCACCAGGCACAGCTTGGATATAACATGGTCTACTAGGGACAGCCTATTGCATGGTCCACCAGGGATAGCCATACTGTAGCATGGTCCATTAGGGATAGCCAGACTATAGCATGGTCCACCAGGGATAGCCAGACTATAGCACGGCCCACCAAGCACAGCTTGGATATAACATGGTCTACTAGAGACAGTCTGACTATTGCATGGTTTATTGGGCATAGCCTGACTGCAGCTGCAGCTGACTGCAGGGACAATATCTCATTGACAGCCTGACTATAGAATGGCTCATAAGGGCAAAATGATTCATATTTTATTATGTAACCGACATCAGAACCTCAAAACGAGAATGTAACCAACCAAGTAAAAGTGACAGGAGTATATTCTGGTGAGTTTCTGTGCAACCGTGTTTACCAATAAATGTCCAACTTATTTATTCAAAGGTTTCTAAACTGAAGTCAGAGATGGAGCAGCAACGGTTGAGATTACAAAGAGATCACAGTGCCGAGATGGAACAAATGTTGCAAGAGGTAGCTGCGTTTCTGCGTTCTGTGGTCATTTTAGGGCAGTGACACCAGTTTCATAGAGTTTCACTCTCGTTGTAGCTATTACAACAGTAGTTCCCTCTTCATCAGTAGCAGCATGCTGAAATATCAACCAATACTACTACAAGAGAAAGTCTGTAGCGGTAGTGGAAATCCTCTTTGTTGGTATTCTTAGAATAGTGACATCCATGTCATAAAGAGATCATTTTGTTATCATAAGTACTGCAGTAATGCCGCTCTCGGCACCGGTAGGCAGTGTAATGAACATTCCATCAAGAAAATGCTCATTACATCTGATTGCTTTCTCACCACAAAGGTGAGAGGTTTGTCATATATTCAACATTTCAAAGATAGTTACTGGTGGAAGTGTGAGCTGTTAGAATCCATTCAAATATAATCACCAGCTCACTACCAAACCAGTCTGCAACTTGGTATTAAGGATGGGAAAGGATGTGGTTACTTCAGCATTCTTGTTTGAAATGTTTGATTAACCTCTTGGGAGAGCTGACCTACATTTATAGTTGATCAGAAATCTGTCAGATGCTATGCAGTCTTGTATCAAGTTGCAAACTAACTGGCAAAAGCAGTCTTTCGTCAACGTCTATCTCAAGCTCAGGAATTGAATTCTGGTTTTTGCATGCAATGGACCCGGCCACAGTAGTGCCGGTCTTATCATTTGGAATGGATGGGGGATTATTGCCATCAATGCTCGGATTAGGCCCTTCATTTAGACGAATTTTGCATAATTCACCTTGTGTCATTTCAGACCAATGCAAGACTGAAGAACATAGAGACAGACTACACAGAGAGATTAGCCAAAACAGCTGAGGTGAGATCCACAGGTGGATTGATGAGATTGGATAGGTATATCACAGTGCATAAAGCCAGTGCAAACAAAGATTGGATCTATCAGATGTGAAACAGTTCAAGAACCAAATTGTTTCTAAGAGTGAGTTTTTGGTACAATAAACAGTCACGGTTTGTTTCTCACACTGTCGTGCACAATATAAAAACAGTTGGGCTACTTAACTATGCAGGGGTCAAGTTGTGTATGTTGTATGCAGGCATCAGAGATTTGGAGGATGGGTAATATTCCATTCAGTCCTACCTCTGCTGGATTGGTCACTTTGTTGCGCTATTTTCTTGTCTCTGCAGAATAACAAGCAGTTAACGGAGAGAATAGAAACGTTGCAGCAAGAATTCTTGAGGTGTGTAGTTAATTTTTGCCGTATCTGTTTCTTCCACAACCTCTGGAACATTTCGTCTGTCATCATAAGACCTGTTTATCGAGGGTTTGCTTGGGTACCATCTTGCAGGCCAGTGCTTTTGTTCCACTAAAAAGGTTTCCCTGTGGAACAAAAGAACTGCTCTGCAAGATGGCTACGGCGCAAAGCCTTTATAGATTAGACATATGGCCTTTCTCAGGCAAATGATATCACGTGATATCACAAAACCAATGGGCATATAATTGTGATGCCGTGAGTAGACACTTAATCGGTTGCGTTGATGTTCTGACAGCTCTAGGAACGAGCTTGAGAGGCAGATGTCGGATGCTATCACCAAGCTGGAAGACGAGAAGGAACTCCTTAAGAAACAGCACTCTGCCTATCTAAAGGTAAGACATCCATCAAATGCCCGCTCATGTTGAGTTAGGATGTGCGTAAATCTCTTTAATATGAGCAAAATTTGTACACTCTGGGTTTTAAAACTGAACTGTGAAACATATACGAGGACTTTCTTCTCAACAACCGTCATTCATGTACTTTCACTTGATTTATTTTGTTTTGTCACCGGAAAGGGCATGTTATTACGTATTTAAACAACAATGCAGCGACATCTGATGTGTGTTTATAACCTTACAAAAGCTTACCAGGAATGCGGCTGAACCATATCCTGCCGGGGAGCTCAATTTCAGGTACCTAAATAGCCGGGGTGCCTGAAATCGGACAAAAGAGCTGGGCCTTGTTACAAAAGACTGTACTTGGAGCAAAAGACCGAAATGCTGGGAATTGCCAACTTTTTTTCAGTTGTCAATAGCAGAGGAAATCCGTCATTGTTTTGAACGATTATACCACTGTTTGTGGCATTCAGCGTGAGTGGGTTACCACTGGGGACAAAAGTATTCCAGCGCTCCAGGGATGAGCGATACAATACCGCTGCACGCTAATCTGGCCCCTATTGAAAAGATGCCAGCAGCACACTGTGCCAATTTTGGGAACAAAAGAAACTTATATAACACCACCCAATCTGGGTTCTTTTTACAAGGCGGCAGGCATGGCTGAAATATTCGGGCATCAATAGATGTTGTCTGTCAGATTAGAGTAGCCACCAGACAGTCACTCTATGATGTTTAGGCATTCAGACAAAAAAGATAAGAATTTTTGAAGATTTTTGAAACCAAAGTTACTGGAAAATTGCCCGTATGTAGGCACTGCATTTTTAAAAGCACAAGGCAGCCAGTGGTAAAATATTGTAACCAGGTCTTGCTTATTCCAGTTGGGCGAGTGAATTTTATCCTTCGTTGTCAGACTTTGCACCAAGACCTCGATAAGCAGAGGACTCGAGCCAGGCAGGTGGAGAGAGAATTACAGCAGAAGGATTTCCAGCATCAAGACCGGGTATGAAGATAACTTGATCCTCATTCCGGCCATCAAGATATGTCCAATGTTATTTGTTGAAATGGTGACCGTGGATTGCCACAAACTGCGAGTTTTGAACTCCTAGCTTTGATGTTACAGAAGTAACAAGCTGTTGGAGTGTGGAAAATATGGAATCTGCTTTTTAGCCCTGGACTCCACCGTTCCCATACACAGATACGACTCATACTAAGGTCTAAACAAAATGCCAAGTTTGGTCATCGACCATTTGTCAACTAATTGCCTAGTACCCTGAATGTATTTTATGTATAAGTTACCGGTCACAATCGACCAACGGTCGACAATTAGACACTTAATGAACTGGGGTGGATCACGTTAGCAGTTGGATATCAGGCTTTGATGCAACATTGGATTTTGGATTGTTCAAGCCTCGTCTTTGTTCTTGCTGTTAGATGACCCACTTGAAGCAAGAATACGAACACAGAATGAGAGGACTGATGCCTCTGAATGTCCGGCAGGTAAGAGCCTTGAATGGACCAGATTTAAAAGGAAGAAACTCCCGATAGATTTCAACTCAGACCGTGAGTGTTTGATCAGGGTTCCTGTGGTCATTGAAAACCCCCAGAAAAAAAAGTTGTCCCGGAAAATCATGGAAAAGTGGGGAAGACTCGGGAAGAAAAGGGTGTCCTGGAATCCTGGTATCAGAGGAAAGCAAGTCATGGAAATGTGGAAATCAAGATCACATTAGGGTTATTTGATGGGCCTCGTTTGATGTGATTACAGAATAATGACAAATATAACGGCTTTCTCCTTGTCCATCTATAGTAGTGGTTGTGGCAGGAAACTGTTCTCGGCAAAATGTCACGGAAATTGTCCCCATTTAAGTCCTGGAAAAGTCATGGAAGTAAACGTCAAAATTTCTGCAGGAGCCCTGTCGAGTTTTCATGCTATTTATTCTTCCTCAGGAGCTAGAAGACACTATTGAATCGCTCAAGGCCCAAGTGAGCGCTCTCCAGCAAAGAAGTATGTTACTACAAGAAGATATCGATAAGAGCAGAAAAGCCACCGTGCGGTCACCCTCTAGGAACTAATCCATGACTACTTACAGATATGCTCATATTTTTGTCATATCGGTCATTATATAAATTCGGGGTCCGAAAGTGTGGCACTTTTGTGTCCTTGTTACATCTGACCTGTGTAATTTGACATGGAAATGTCATTGGAACTGATTTCAATCTATTACTATTTGTTGGGCAGGTAATTTGCATTAATTTGTCACTCATGGAAATTAGAAAATGTGTTCTGAACTTATAAAATTATATGTCAAATGTGACAGGGACACCAAAAAATCGGATCCCTAATTTCTAGAATGACCCATATATCCATGCAGATCAGAATTGCCAATGAATAAATGACAGTCCACACTCGATTTGCCACGAAAACATTTTATTATAACTTAAAGAGTACCTCTAAGGAAAAAGTGTTTTCTCTGATTTTGATCTGTTCATATAAATATGGAAGCATCCAATTCGAATGCAGCGTCAGTTGTCTGCAGAGCTCAACTATAACAAATTTGAAAGAGTTTTTTTTGTCTGTTCATGCCAAGATTCAAATTCTGAATGTAGATTGCGTCATTCTGATAAAACGAGGGGAACCCTGGCCTTTTTGTTCGTAGGCCTGGATAAACCATTTTGCGTGCCACAGAATGGCTACAAACAATGGCTACATGCATTGTTGGCACGCACAAGGGTTTATCCACTACGAATACAGGACGAGGGTTCCCCTCATTTTCTCTGTTTTCTCCGAATGATGCAATCTACATTTTGAATTCGCATCTTGGCATGAATAGAAAAAAAGCCCTTTTTAGCTCGTTATAGTTGAGTTCTTAAGACAAATGACACTGCTTTCGATTTGGATGCTTCCATATTTATTTGAACTGATAAAAATCAGAGAAAACATGTTTTACATAGAGGTGCTTTTTAAACTATGTTTTATTTCTTTTTAAGTAGGTAACAATGCATTATTACATGGAGTCAGTTATTTGTGAATAACTTTAAAGAATAGATAGAAAAGTATGAGAATGTGTAGTATTATAAACATGGTTTTTATTTTACTTGAGGGTTGTGCATTGTTCTTAGAACAGTCATTTTTAACTGCCTTTTTGAAAATTGTATAAAAGATAAAAGACAGGTCAATTAATGTTTAAAGAAACCTGCAGAATTTCCTTTCTTGTCCAAGTTAATGCATTCAAAACTCAAAAGTTTGTAAAACAAGTTTACATTGAAAAGTTATTTTGAGAATTTTTCAGTTTTCCAGGTGGAATAACCGCATGAAGTTGAATCACAGTGCTCGTGTACATTGCAAATGTACTTTCTTGAGCTGTAAACTTTAAGATTTCTTTTTCCCCTGCTTTTCTTGAAGTATTTATTTTTCTTTATTTTTATCACATTTTTGAACTGTTTATGAAACGGCTCAAGAATTCTGTTTGACACAGTAATTTGAAATAAACATTTTAAACAAAAGATTAGTTTCAAATACTTCTCCAGATTTAGTGTGAGGAAATTGTAATTTTCAAACAGGGATGAGTTATTAAAGAGTTCGTCACAATTTCTAATTAAATTTCCCCACAGGCCTGTGCTTTCGAAATTCTTCAGGCAAACCAATGACCCATTTGCATAAAGGGCTACATGATCAACTAGACTTGGAATACTAGTCCCTCAAATGTCTTGCTTTCACATAGTTGCGCATCGACCAACCAGCAGGACAATTGAAAACATCCAACCTCTTTGTCTTTTGGTGGGAATTTTGAAGTTTTGTGTTCCCCGATGTTGTTTCATAAGATCTTTAGAAACCACTGGGATTTTGGAAATCGATAAAAATTGCCTAATCGGCAACAGATTGTTATGCTTAAGAAGACTATCGTTTATGCAAACATGGAATTGTGGTCCTTTTGTTTAAAATTCCTCTTCGCTGACGTAGATCACTTCGTCTGGTCCCGGCCTCGTGGACTTGATCTTCTGTACTGTTGTCCTGTGTTTACTGGCGTCTACCACCCTCTGTAGATTCTTCAGCCGAGGTCTTCGCCTTCTCTTCGGGTCTTGGAGCGTCTCATAGGCCCACACTAGAGGGTTAGAGGGGGGCGGTTTCGAAGCATCTGCCTGGAATTCGTCCGCAAAAACAGTGCCGCTAGGTATGAGCTCAACTCCCCATAAATTGGAGTTCGGCGCGGGAGTCTTCTGGCAAGTCCCTGAGTTCACATCAGCTAGCTGCAGTTGTGCCCTGTACATGTAATCAAGTTCATCCTCGGATGGTTGGCATGAAGAAAAGGGTTGCAGCGTCGCAGCAACCGGATGAATAGAATTCCTAAAGAAACAAAAGATGACAATGAATTTAAAATATGCGCGTGCTTTAATCTCGTATGCAGACTCCTCGCAGAGTCGAAACAAAAAATGTGAAAGTTGGAACACCTAAGGAAACAAGATGCAAGGCAACTCACTTCTTCCTCTTCTTGTTACTCCTTTCAGGAAGTTCCTTGGCCTCTCTTGTCTTGGTGGCCAAGATGGTATCCTTGGGATGTGGCCAGCATAACTTCAGGAGTTTACCCTTGTATAAAACTAGGTCATCAGTGCCCTGTCCTGGTGAGTTACTGATGACACGTGGTTGGTCGGATGGGACTCCCTTGCATCTTTGGTTGGCTGTCTTCTCGTCCTGAAGACTGCCTCCTTCGTGGTCTTGTTTACGTTTTGCAGCGAAGAACATTCTAAGTTTGAAGACAAGTCAACCCGCATGAAAATTAAATGGCAATAACCATTGCGACTTCCAGATTTTAGCTAAACCATTTGCCCCGTCGTCTTGTGTATGGTGTCTAATTCATCAATAATTACCCCTTTCTTCGTTTGAGCATCATCCAGGCGTTGTGGCTGGCGATCATCTGGTTTTGAATGTTCTCCCTGAACATGTCGTTGGTGGCAACCATCCTGTCGGCACAGGCCATTATATCCGACGGCTGTTGTGAGTTGCCGACGGCCGAGTCAGACCCTGGGTGTGGTCTGTGAAGGCATTTTAAATAACAGTCTGCAGTTTCGATCGGAGATACGTATGTGATTCTGTGCAGTGTTTATGAAAATGTCGAGAAGCTGTCGTACTTCTCTTTGCTGAGTGGAGGATGCCAAAAAGACAACGCTAAAGACACAGACGATTAAATATTCTGAATTCATCTGAATAACAGATAACCGTTCTCAGAGTCTAGTTGCTATGATGTCCTATACGTGTATGCTTTTTAGGAGCCATGGACCCGACGTGGATGTGGATTATGAAAGGCGAGTCGCTTCCCGGATCTCTCGGTGCTTCGTGACGCACGATTCTAGCCTCATTAACCTTGGCACAACCCAACTAGCTCGGCCTACACTGCAAATTCATTACCGTGTGATAATACTGAGCTTGATTGGTTATGTTAAAGCGTTCTCTACAATTTTAGAATATCTGCTGCTCATTTAATGAACAAAGCTTTAAAAATGTCGGAACTGTGAATTCACAAGTTAAACATTGCCGAAGGAAATAAAGTAATTCACATGATAATCTATAGTAAAGTTGAAATCGTCAGCAACATTTCTTTGTTAATAGAAATGTTTTTAAAATCCTACCTTGAATGATTTGCACTGTCGTCAACTTTCCTGAGTTCGCGCTGTCTCATCAGACAGTTCATCATCATCTTGCTCTGCTGCCGAGTTTTTTCCAGCAGCTGTCGTCCCTTCTCCTGCTCGAGGGTTAGAGCCTCTAGGACGGTCGGGGGTAGCGTCACCAGCTCGGCCGGTGCTGCTGACCTCAGTGAGGTAGGCTGGGCAGGAGTTGCTGTTACTGCGGTGTGTTTGTGGACAGCGCCATCCGCAGGTCGACCAGGCTCCACCGCGGCGTGTCTGCGCCGAAAGATCGCCACGATGGATGAAACTCGGTTAGAAACGCCCACAATGATACTTGGCCAATATTTAAAAAGTTTGTTTAAATAACACGTCTGAATCTAGCATACTATCATAACTTTTGCTGCAGAGGAAACAAATAATTCCTGTACAGTAAAATCTGATGTGCTATATCCGAAAAACATGGTGTGGACAAACGACTTTACCAAGCGTGTTCTTTGGTAAAGGTTTGATGGAATAATTATAATCTCTAGCATAGCTCATTTATCTCTCAGAAGGGACTGCATCATATCACTATAGGTAATAAATGTTTAATTCACCTGTCTGTCCCACATGATTCTTCTTGGATCTTGGCAATAATCGAAGCATTCAGTTGTCTCCTCCTTGACTCTTCATCCCTCTCGGCAGGAGACACCTCTTTCTTCACCAGCGTGTTCTCTGTCTTCCCACAGTTCTCCTGTGAAGAGGGTTCCTGGCTTCTTGTAGGGAGGTCTTTCTGACGTTTGGGTGGGTTCACTCTCCTCTTCAGCGCTCGTGAGCTCAGGATACCGAGATTCGGATTGATGTGCTTCGTGGTAAACGTCTTTGGTTTTGGCAGATTCCCCTGCAATTCTTCCCCCGTGGGGCTAGCTGTTTTCCCTAACGCGCCCTGAGGCTGTCCATCGTCAGCCGACCGGTGAGTGATTGGCGTCTCCGATACCTGAGATGTTGAGTTGGTACTTTGGGGGCTCCTGACTGGATTGGAAGGTCTGATGATCGGAAGCTGATTGGCGGTTAGCTGGTTAGCCGGTTGAACTTGAATCAGGCGAACTTTTATTCCTGGAGCAGGTGTGTATATCTGGCAGGTCTCAGATGGTGCCCTGCGATCGCAATGCAAGCCAAGAATTGATCAGGGCTATGAAGATACCTAGGTTTTGTCTTTACACATGAAAAATCGGTCGTCTTTGGCAGTACGTACATCTTATGTACGTAGTTGATTGACCCAAAAGTTTGTAGATGGTTAACTGCTGACAGTTTTCATTAATTTTACTTCTTAATTTTATGTTCCCAAAGTAAGAGAACAGTGGCTATCCTCACCTTTTTATATCGTTATCTACGGTATCTGCCGTTATCTTTCCACTGTCTTCATCTCCACAATCAGACACCTCCACGTCGTCGTTCCCTGTACATCTTTCTCTGGGGCAGCGACTTTGGCATTTCTTGTGGGTCCTCGTACCTGCCTCCTTGCGCCGAGCAGTAACCATCAAGGCACCGTGGCTCATCTTTACCTCTGCCTTGCTGGGCGAGTCCGATGCATTTGTGCAACCCCCATTTCCACCGCCCGCGAGAGAATTGCCAGTTTCTTTCCACGCTGAATCTGTCGCTTCGGCTGGACGCCTGTGTCGTTCGTCTTTCAAACCACCACAATCTTCTCTCATCTCCCTCCAGCGAGTATCGCAGGCTTCGATGCTGGCCTCGTCCAGCAAGATGTACTCTTCGAAATCCTCGCTGAGAGTTGATTCCAAAGCATCGCTCTCGCTGTGGAAAAGGATAACATGTGCGCAGAATTTTTTTAAGAGAAGGGACATGGTAATTATCTTATGGTGGTGAAAACTCTTGCCTACGATTTAATAAAATATGTGCACGAATTGGCTTTGGGAAAAAAATATACAGGACTTCCCTGACTTCATAGTTTGCGATGGTGATTTTGCAAATGTTTTTAAAACAGTGAAAACATAGAACGAAAATAGTGTGTCATTTCAAATGAAAATCTTTGAAAAAATTGCGCTGTAGTCACCCAAAGGTAGTGCCAAAGATTGCCTCATAAAAATTGTGAATTAGCCGACTCACCATTTTTGTACCTGTCTGCAGGTTAAGAACCCATCAACCACGTGTGATGACTTACTCACGTGACTGCCCCTTTGTGGGCGGGGGCAATGTGGGTTCCCATGGGTCGTTGATGGGTCTCTCTGTGACCCATTCTTGCCACACCTGCAGAAATAGAGTAACAACCACCCCTTGACTCTCAAGTCACTTAAATAGGGTCAAACTAACAAGATCAACGATGAAATGAAACAATTTTTGTCGCTATTCACTTAAAACTGCTTTCCTCTTGATTTAGACTAGACTTTCCAGCGTGTCTTTTAATTACTTGTGATTGAGGCAATTTGATTCTTAATGACCGAATTTAAATTGGTGAATTCGTGATAACATTAAAATCAACTCATCGGACTTGTACTCACAAACTTGGCAAGGAGTATTTATCTTCCAGTCGGAAGGCAAGGGGATGAGGGTGTTTTACTCGACCCAGTTTTCTGGCCGCAAGAAGCCCGCCAGAACTGGGTGAGGTGCTCGCGCCCTGCTGACTGAGATGTTCAACCTCGATGGTCCGGGGACGTCGAAGGCAGCAGAGCAAGTTGAGCTTGGCCAACGGGTTGACACGGCCGGGATATTCACGGCTGCTCGCTTGGAGGAGGCCGGTGTCTCGATCTTCGGAAAACCACGCAGTTTTCCTCTTGAACTCAGCTTGGACCTTAGACTGACTACCGGAAGTCATTTTTGCAAGCTGGATAGATTTTATACTCAATTTTTTATCAGTAAAATCGCTTTGAATCGCAATCAATGTTCTCACAACGAAATCTGCAAGAATTCTGCAAAATTGTGTCTAGTTTGGTTGCTATATGATACAGTGTTGCTATGTGATAAATTTGGTAGACAATGAAAACATTGTGTAGATCATCATTGATCGTCTGACGTCACAAAACTTTAAGTGTGCATTGCGTCTTTACGTAATACGCGCACGCTTTTAATTGTGTTGCGTTCACACAAATTTTACTTGACGCAAATTGAGCGACATTAATGTACAGTTTCAAATGATTCCAACAAATTCAATTTTGTCGCCTAAAAAGAAAAATGCTCTAAAAATACCACTTAAAAATGTCCTGCCGTTTTTCAGATTATTTCAGATGAAACGTATTTGTTGGAGTTCCGTTTATAAAACCCTGCAGCTGGTGTAGAGGAGTGTACAACACGAAAAAAAAAGTGCAATTTCGTTTCAAGAAATCTCATTTTTGCCACCCTGGTTCACATTTCAAAGTTTCCCCGTTCTATTTCTCGAGCGCTCTCTCTCCTAAACCTAAAAGACAGAACATATTTCCAAATAGGAGGCATTAATGTAAGCAATTGACTTGTAAAGGGTTCCGCGTAAACCAACAAAATGGCCTTACTCTTGCTTCTTCAGCGGGTGCAATTTTGTTTCTGTTGACATTGTAAACTTCTTAGTAGGCCCTGTTACAAACCTGACAATGTGCTGCGCTCTTAATTAAGTACAAAGACATTCTTGGAATTGTACTAAGCACCTTCAGCTGGAAATTCGTAAGTCTGTTTAAGCGGCTCTGTTAAGGAATGAACACGACACTTCCTCTATCTCTTGTCCCTGACTTGGGTGGTAGCTTTTTGGGCGTGCCTCGGGGTTGTTGGGTTGTACGAAGTGAAAGGAGCTGCAATCACATATCGCGTGCATTACAGACGAAGGGTCACCAATGTTGGGAGAATGGCACATAAAGGTAGGGAGATTTTTTCTTTTCTTTCTTTTCCCTTAATTTACGTGATATTTTGGTAAGAGATGTGCAGCTCACAATTGGCGCACGCAGTGGGGAAGAGGGCTCTTCTCTGTTTGAGTCCTTGGTTCGTTTGCGTCGTTCGTCTTGCTGAGCTGTGACGCTGCGAGGCATGTAAAGAAATCAAATACTGCAGAATTAAATGTCATCGTCTCTATTTATGAAAGCACCAGTCGATTTCCTTGTCGAGGGTGTGCGTCCAAGTGCTGTGCCAAGAAAGAGCAGGTCCTCATTTTTTGGTGCCATCTTGCTCTGTATTGCAGGATAGAATCCAGTGCGTTGCAAATTCGTCTGACATTTCGTTGGACTGTCGATTAAAGAACCAAGTTTGGCCGGTGGAGATTCTTTGCCTGTTGGAACAAAACTCCTTGCAATGGCATCTAGTACTGTGGCTCTGCAGAACAGAACAATGGACGGCTTCTGTCCAAACCAAGTGAGGCATCAGTAAAGGTAAACAAGTAACACTGTCTTAGTCTATTAGTCATATTTGTGCTTAGTGGTTTATTGAAGTATTATTGATGGCACTTGGGATGGCGGGTAAAGATGAAATGAATGAATGAATCGTTCAAATTGATTTTGGACCTTCTCCTATACTGCCTTCTCACATCAACTTGTTGAAACATGTAGAGGACCCCGGCAATATGTCTTTCAGTATAAAGAAATATTCTAGTACTTGCAAGCTGTGATATTTCCTCCTTACAGGGTAGCTGCAATTAATTTGTTTGAATACAAACCTTTGAAAAGGGTCTGATTTTTCAGCTTTTGTGTCACTATTTCAAAGAGTATTTTACTGCCTTTTTGGATTTCATGCTTAGGAGTTTTTCATATTCATTGAGCAAAACTGTGATGTCATCTCAGGAAGAAGCCTCAATCAAAGCAATGTCTTGTATACAAAAAAGGGCTGCATTTTTGTAGATTTTGCTAGACTCGGGTTTCTCTTCTCTGCGTCTTAATTGTCGTTTATTTGTTGTTTATTTGCAAAGCACTAAGGAAACGTCAATCCCTTTCTCTGAAATATTTTCAGTCAGTATTTTTTTTGGGTTCACAATTTAAACATACAAGCCTATGTTAGATGAATTCACAACAACAGCGCCCTCAGTTGTCCGGGAAAACACGCTAATTTGAATACGGGCGATTCACAATAGTGCGCCTCCAAGTATTTGAAACGCCTTCGCCAATCACAACGTGCGATATTTGTTGACCCTCTCCAAACGCGTATTGGGTCGATAGATTTCGCGCACTATTGTGAAACAACCAAATTTAGTGTTTAAAACGCGCACTTTTTTTTACATTTAACCAAAGACGTATGTGAAAGAATTTTCATACTTTAAAAGAGACTACGGAGTTGAAGAAAAACTGCGTCTAAGAAAAATTAATTGCATTTACACTTTAAAAAACGCCTCCCTGTTTGAGTTCGTTTGTGTACCGCAAGGGCAGATCTAACTATCAGGAAATGGGGGGAATTTGATGTAAACGCGAATTGAATTAAGGTGTGCTGGGGGCCGGGTTACCTCGGGGAAAGTAGTTGCGCCCCTTCTCCTGCATTTCACGGCATATTTAAAACAAAGTTAGAAATTTCAGCATTTCATTTAATATTTTGGGACCCATTTTTTTTTCCCCGTACAGTAACATTTAAGCCCGGCTCAACACGGGGTTACACCCACGGACATGGCGCCAACAGATCTGCCGCCTTGTGCATGCAAATTTACAATGTGCGTCAGCATGCGCAGTGTGGCAGCTAGCTGTCAAAGTCAAGGCTGCATGTAGGCAGGGGTGGATACAAAACCATTTTTGTTAGGGGGGAGGCCAAACTTGTTTGGGAGGGGTCAAAAAGTGGAATTTTTTTCGTGTAACCTTCAATGGCCCTTCTGAAGGGGTTAGGCTACTTTTTTGACTTTTTACACACTTTTTGAAGGGAAATGCAATGTGTCAAAATCGTCTCCCCCATCTGCCTTTACCTTTAGGCATCTGAAGAGTGCCATGTTCCTAACTAATACCTAGGAAACAAGATATCAACACGAATGGTAAAGCGTATAAGTTGTCACTTAAAATGCTGGTTTACTTTATTTCTTAAACACGTATGCTCAGATGTACAATGATAGCTTATCACTTTTGTGACATGGACAAAAAATTAGATTGCATACTTAAACTCAAGATACGACTTTGAGTGTGAAGTTTTAAAGTGACATCAGACAGATTAAAATGGAAAGCAAAAGTTCATGTTTGTTTGTTGGTGAAAGGTTTGCGTGTTACAGGCTAACACCAAACTGAAATGACAAACTCCGTCGTTAGTTTAGTGTGGAGTATTCTACCAGACTATTAGAAGGAGTGTCAAAATTTAGAAGTTCATTTCCAGTTTTCACAGCTCAGAAAAAAATGGCCGTATAGCAAACTTTTTGGCGATGCTGAATTAAAAACCTTATCTTTTAAAACTAAAGCTTAATCTCAGTTTAATGCTGACCATTATGAAATCCTGTTAATTATAAATACAACAGTATAAATGGCATCTAAAGTGACATCAAATCTAAAAACGCACAACCTGAAATGCTCTAAGTGCAGTCTGGCGAATCTTCTGCCATATCTAAGAATACACATAGAGCGCGATCTGCCCACTCTTAACTCCCAATACATCTTTTAAAAACCCACGAGATGGATGATTGGAAAGTCTTTTTAAAATAAAAACCACAGGAGGGTCATGCAAGATTGAAAGCATAACACGAGCCAAGTTGGACCAACCAATGCGTGGGCGGTTCAGGATTGATTGCACATGTGTGCTCTTTGTGCACGAGGCACATTCCGATAGCAGTCCAGTCAATATATTACAGATGTCTTCGGTCATTATCTGCTGAGCAAAATGTTTCACCGTGTTCCTCCGTTCTGAACATCACTTGTCATTTATGCAGCCAGTGAAATTTCTTAAATAGGAAATGTTTAAGTTACACCAACGAATACATGGCATAAAATGCCTCTTTATAACCAACTCAAACAAGAGAAAATAAAGAGTTTGATAATGACAAGGCATGTGATACTCATGTAGATAAGATGACAAGATTGAGAGTGATTCATGTAAACTTTCACAAAGAAGAAATTAACATCCTCTCCAAATGAGGACAGGGAGGCAAGAATGGATATCGGGCTTTCTGTCAATTTGGATCATTTCAGCAGCAGTTGCACATTTAAAATGTAAACCCTTGAACATTGATTCAATGTTAGTATCTATTCATAAGTATTTTGATCCTGATTAGTAATGCATTCTAAGTTACCATGCACCAGAGCCGTGGTAATTCAATGGTACATGTACTGTGTAAATAAACAGCTTATCCTAGTACCTGTACATGTATAATTGTGGTCGAAACTTTACAGGCTGACTGGAAGTGTTTTTAAGACTACTCTTCATTCCTTGCAACCATCCTCTTTTAAGTCTGATCAATCAAAGTACGGCTCTATCTTATTTATTTATAGCTTCATGGAAATAAAATAGATGTGCCATCTGGAGCTGGACAGCCACAGAAAAAGAATGGTCAGCTTTGGTTGTAACAAAGTCACTAGGACCATACAAATTACTTTGTTACAACCAGAACTTTGTGAGAATTGGAATGGAAAAAACAAAAGAAGTCATCAAATGATTGAGATTCTCAGAATTTGCACTTGATAACAGTATTTTGGTAGAGCAGCGTGCTTCATAATGAGGCTCGACTGTGGTTGTCAGGAACAGCAAAGGAAGTCAAAACTTCAAGTCTAGATGTAAACTTTGGACCACGACTGTCGTATTAAATTAGGGAATTACAAGGCTAGCGTAAAAAGATCTGCGCACCCCTTCAACCTCCTAGGAGGTCTTCAACATCTGTCACATGGCTCAGGGTGAAGTTCCTGAAACACTTCATTACAAGAAAGCTAAGACATCAGCCATTGCGATTAAAGATGCCACACAACACCTGAGACAGTAACACCATGTTAACCCAGACTAACTCCACATATCAACCCCACAGCATAAACTATCCTCGGTAAAAAAAAAAACAATGCCCACATCGGCGATGCCGTCATGAGCACCATTACAAAACTCTCTTAAGGATCTCACTTGCAGATCAAGGCTAATGAACATTGGTCGTGCCTATTGTGTCAAATCCAGCCCCAGGGGTGGGGGGAAGACATAACATACAACACATGCCCTGTCTGTTGGATCAATCTGTACCTTGACCATAGAGCTATATTAAATTACTAGAGTGCTAACTTCTCATTCTCCGCGTGACCAAATTTGACGCTGTCCTGGACGCAGACATTTTGAAGCCATGTGCAAAATTGTAGAACATTCAAAATCAGATCAAATCAGAATGAATATCGAATAACGTATTCAACGTGCAATGGGTACCGCTAAAATCTGTCACGGCAAAATCATCTGTGGTGAATATGCGCACATTTGCACTGTTTATGCAAAGCGAAATGAATCACTCATTTACTGATTGTGGATTAGTGTCTTTGCGTATCAGCTTTGTTGACGTAGCGTTTTAGAATAGACACAGATATGCAAATAGCCCTACAAAATTTCCAGTTTTCCCACAGGTTTGTGCACAAACATGGATGCGCCCAGCAGGCATCACTTTGTACATGAGTCAGCGCTCTAGTTTCTATAACTAGCTCTATGAGCTTGATGCAAGCTTCAAGTCAATTTACCAAGAGACAACACCATCGCAGTATTGATGGTGATTTTCATTCAGAAAAAAACCAACACCTCCAAAGAAGAAACGGAGGGACAGCCAGAGCAATTTGTACACAAACCAACAGTCCTGCAGCATTGCAACCGCATTGTAGCTTCATTACAAGCCATGTGCTTTTTTTTTCCCTTTGATAAACACCAATATAAACATATGCATACCTGTTATCTTGCATGTCTTGTAAAGTCAGAGGTTAGTAATAAAATACTTTATAAATACAATTGATCCCGTAAGTACCATAAACTTAGCCCCAATGACTACACGCACTGACTTCCCCCTCTGCCGTGACATGTACGGGTCTACGGCTATACCAAGTTTCGCTTGTTGGTGACCAACTCTTGCCAATTCATGAAAACTCTTTATTCTGCAATGTTTCATACGGGGCAATAGAACTTACGCTTTATTCTCTGTGTCACACATTTATTACAATTTCAATTACAATTACGGCAAACATTATAAAAAGAAAACATGTACATATCATTAATAATCTACTAATCTACAGCCAACTACGTTGGCTCCATTTATACATTTTGTACATGTTAAACATGATTGGTCTGAATAAATCATGTCATTATCTGTTTGCGTTCCAAACCTTTCTAGTTGATCATACTGTGATTTTAACCATTCCTTGCAAGGTACTCGAAGATGCCCCGGTTCTGTTGGCTCTCTTGGCTGCCCTGATGCAAAAAAAAAAGGGGGAAAAATGTGATCATTAATAAAGATTTCTACTTTTGCATCATGGCCCTGGCTGCAGAAACAGAGCATCGTGTATTAGGTCATTTGTCTTTCCTATCAAGTACAAATAAAACGAATACAAACTCTGGTTTTGAACTAAATGAAATATTTTGGTAAACTTTTGACAGCATCACTTTACTATTTAAGGTATCTTGTACACTCAAAGTTTTGCTCAAGAAAATGTTTCCACCTTTTTCAGTGTTCTTTTCTTTTATGAGAATTGTACAAAGTCGGCATAAAAGTGCTTTTATCTGCTAAAGTAAAGGTTGTTAAGAACACTTTGTTGCACAAATGAACAAAGGGAATCATGAACTCACTAACATTCAAAAACATCGCTGGTTTTGCTCATACTTTTTTTCTCACAACAATCCTTGAACATACCTTGGTGAATCAACCGGACTGTTGGCCCTTCTCGGTTGATCTTTGACGAAATTTCTACACGACGCTAACTTGGTTTCTAAAGCCTGAATGAAAACAAAACACAACCTTATTTGACTTCAAATCAAAAAATCAAACTCAGCACTGTATACTCGACAAATCTTACAAAAACGATGCAAATCAAAGTGACATCGAAGGTGCCAGATTACCGATTCCTAAAACAGAGAAATATGAAATGATGCATTTGAAGCAATTTTTAAAGAAGTTGTGTGAGATTCACAGCATATCTGTTCAATTTTTAAAAATCTCCCTACTTGTTTGCCCTTCACATTGAAATGTTTATACGTCTTGCAGTTGATATTTGTGATCACATGAAACTCTCTTCTCATTTTACATATCCCTGAATTTGCTGCCATTCTCAAATTTTATATTCCTTATAATTTTACAATACCTTCTGATTCTTGACGACAAAAAATTTTCAGGCATTGGGTTGATAATCTCTCCCTGAAAACTGCAAAACTATGGCTACTTTTAATGAAGTATGGTAAACATGGTCAAACAAAATCAAAGTGAGTAGAAATAAATCTCTCTTACTACAAGCACAAGGCCTGCCTGCGAGAAGGACTTACCCCAACTTTTCTAAGTAGATCTCCAACTATGTTGAGCGCTGAAATTCTGGCAGACGCTGTTAACGGTGTATTTCCAGAACTTCCGCCTACTTCAGTCACTAGAAAGATGGAACGGTAAACTCACATATTGAATGAGCATCACTTCCAAATATTACACGTATCAGATCAAATACTGCACATCTTGCTTATATGCTTTATTACCACACACAAACCTCTGTTCAGGCCAGGCGTCGTGTTTGTCTCCGCTTCGTGTAAGACCTTGTTGTCTGTTTCAGGAAGCCTTGTATCACCGTGTTTTTGCGGGGTAGTGTCCATCCTGTCGTTGTCTGGGACAGCTTGGGTGCTCCGGCCGCCCATCATCTTACCTTGGACAGCCAGTTCTTGAGCCATGTCTGACAGATGAAAAGTTGACCACAAACAGTAAGTCCTTCCAGACGGATCCATTTATCATGCATACATTTATCCTTCTTAACAAATTTACTTCAGAGAACGAACAGAAATGATCAGGAACATCTCTATGCAAAGGGAAGCGATGGGTTAAACCAAGTGTTCCCTGAAGTCCTTGACTGTTGATCTCCGTACATCTCACTTTCCATTGGTTTTGTATGCACACCATATCCTGGGTGTCTGTCAAGACGAACCGTGTATTGAAGTTGAAATTGGCAACTGTTCTCGGCCCATGTTGAAGCAAATACCACCCAGGGTGAAGCACCAGTGAGTTACAGAATATGAAGTCAATCTGACATATGGTGTTTGGATTGATTCTCACAGTAGCCGATATAAATTACCCTTTTTACAAATCATATCTTTTGATCAAAATTAATACCATCTAAAAGTGGCTAATCTGCTGTCACTGAGTCAGGCCAGGGCAGAAAAATTTTGTCTACCGCTGCAGCTTCATTACTCAGGTATATTAACATCAACACACCATCCTTGCTTTTACAAAACACGCCCTCTCTCGTTCCCGCTCAGACCAGATACGGCTCAGAGTACACATTAACCCTCCTTTAGTTTTACAGCACAAATGTGCACAAGTGCCCAAGGTCACTCTCTTGCATGTTGGTGCAGTGCGCAACACGACACAGCTGTGCTTCTTTGAGGTGTTTACCAAGTGACCCAAAGAGTGACTTCAGCATAGGAGGGTTAAAGGCATAGTAACCATGGTAGCCCTCTCTATCCTCACAGGTACCAATTATACTCCTGGGTCGAAGACAGGCAAGCAAGGGTAACATGACTCATCCAAGGTCGCTCAATTCAAACCCCTGATGTTAGTATCAGGAGTTTGAACTATTGACTACTCGGTGTCCTGTGACGAAGTGATATCATAACATGGCCTCGTCATTTCAGTAGTACAGAGCCTGACCATCCAGCCTGCCATCACGAGACAATCTTGCCCAAATTTGGCTGACATGCAGGCCAAGGAAGTCAAACTCACCTCTTGCTTCATCCTTCATTCTCTGTATCGTCACCTCCAGGGTTTCCTTTTCGTCAAGTTCGTTTTCCAGAAATGCGTTCCTCTCGATTGCCTACAAAAGTCACGGAAGTTTAAGTCAAAACCGCCAAGAATTTGTATTTCAAATTCCAAGAAAAACCCTATGTGAATGATTTACTGCAGTAATGCGGCATCTTTCATCAGCCAAAGTGGCATGGAGGACCTGCGATCGCCACGGCAACCAAACCATGGTGCCCCTATACAAGCTGCCCCCAAGCGTATCTCCTTTGACATGTTTTCTGAGCGGTTATAAATACTCACCAAATTCAGTCTCGCTTCAAAATCCTCCAAAGATGTAACGGTAGTTCTACACAAGAAAAAAAGTGATGATGGTTTGATTTTAACTTTAAAAATAAATCCCTCGACAGAACCATGCGCTTCACATAAATCAAACTTGAACAATAAGAACAAAACAAGAAGCGTGCCTCTTGTAAAATTGTCAATGGATGAAGTGCAAAGCTAAGACATGGAATACCTACCTTTTTGCTCTCTCTAAATCATCGTTGTGCTGTTCCAGTTCCCTGATGTATTTGGTCAACTCTTCACGGATGGCCTTGATCTGAGCCAACTCATCTTGAAGCTCGTTAATTTGCCTCAGATATTCATTCTGAGAGTGCTCTAGCTTTTCCTACAAAGCAATATAGTCATTCAGATTTTAAACATGATACAAAGAAATGCATTGCATAATGCCAGCAAACAGGCTGCCACTTCAAGGACATGTGGACATACTAGGATGTCAAAACTAAACAAATCCTTCGCAATGCGTGGCAGATGGAAAACTAGGCATGTGTCAGTCCATCAATGTAAGTTTAAAACAGGGCAAACTCAGAGCAGATTTACTCATAAATATTCCATCCAACTATTCCTGGATAACCAAGGGCACGACATATCCACGTACAACCTCCTTGATTCTAGCTCAAAATCTAATGGTCAGAAGACACTTTCTTCTTCAGAGTATCCCAAACCAAATAAAGTTTACCGTGACAATCGCACAACTGTTTGCCCTGCTATCTCGTTGCCAGGACAAAAATCTGGGAGTAATGTTGATGAATGATTCAGCTAAATAGCTCCGCTCCAAGAATTATGGGTTATTGGTATAAATGGGGGGGGGGGACTTATTATCCATCCAATACTCTTGCTGACCTATGCGGCAAACTGTTAAGTCTTTTCAATGAGCAAATTTGGACTTAAAAATATGTACAAGAAAGCATACAGTGAACAGTGTCTTCCTTGAATGACATCACAGCTACAGCGCCCTCAGCTGTCCAGACAACATAGACAAATAAGTGCACCTTTCTATAGACTTTACCTCAATAGTATGCACATTGTTTTCACACACTGAAGAAAAGTGTGAAGTCACACAAAAAGTGCATATCAGAAAAATTCATTGCATGGATGGACCCTTCGACAACAGGAAAAAAAAAGGTGATCAAACTCGGGAACGATGAAAATGCCATGACTTCATGTCTTGAGCACCGTGGCTCGTCAAGACAAACCTTGAGATTATCCGTCTCATTCTGTAACCTCTCCTTGGCAGCGGTCAGTTCTTTGACTTTGCCTTCTGCAGCCTCTAGCTGTGTTTCAAGTTCTGCCTCCAGTTCCTGACTACTGATCTGAAATTCGTCTAGTTCTTCCTTAGCTTCTTCCCAACTGAAATTAAACACCGTCATCACCAGGAAATTACATAAATGTACGTATAGAGACCATACATGTACATGTTTACATTTTGTCTGCATTGTAAAGAGGGCATTTTTGTCTAAATTTGAAAATGTTTAACTACATGTATTTCATTCTGGATGTTGTGTGAATGTTTGGAGAGATTGGTTGATCGATACGATCGTCCGATGGCACAGTGCTATCACTTGTATGAAATCTCTGACTTCACCTCCCTTTTTTGAAACAATCTTCCACAACCACGAAGAAGAAAGATAGGGTGGTTGGCTGATGACAGAATTATTGCACCAAGATTGAATGATTGCATAGATTGACCAAACATGCCCAAAATAAACATGCAGTGATTTCCCGTGCTGTGACACAAAGGACATTTAAAAAAGTTCCCGCAAGTTCTGCATGTACCAATGAAAAAACAGTGATATCAAAGTGTTTTTTCACTTTGAAAGATGGCGACACTGCAGCGATAGTCCAGATATTAGGCTTAAAATGTCTGGTTTTTTTCATGTGTTGGACCAAAGTCTGTTCCACTTTTTGATGACTTTTGGTTCCTGAGAGTCAGAAGTGCGGTAGTGGGTGAGTGTCGTTGGCATGGATATTAAATCCTGGGGAAAAAAGCACAATGAGACCCCAAACTGAGGTCTGAGATCAGAATGGAAGGCAAGTACAATGTACTCGGCTCCATATCATGACACTTGAAAATTTGACATGGTCCCAAACATGTATGAACTCTGTCCAATCTATCTAAAGTTCCAATATTTAGCCACAAACCTTGCTGTCTTCAAGTATTTTCTTGGCAAAAACACCATAGAGTGAGTCTATCATTTAACCTACATAAAAAAGATTCTTGAAGTAATTTAATTAAGCTTGAATTGAAGTTGAAAGCTACTTTTGATGTTCAACACCCACACCACATTTCCCATCGACAACATGAACAAGCTGGCAACAATTTATAATGTATAAGTAACAATGACTTCAACTGAGGTGGCAACAACCATTACTATTGAGTCTTGATGTTCCTTCATCGTGTCCTATTATAATCATGTTTGTTTGACATGTTTGAGGAAGTTCACAATCATAAATATTAAATCCATAACTTGCGCAATTTGTCAGTCAACTTCAACCCATCCATGGCATCGGTATTTCAATTTTATGTCATTTAAAGCCGTGGGCCTACATATTACGAACTGTACATGTGTGAAGTCACAGAAATGTATGGACATGACAGGCGAGGCACAAGTTGGCCTGCCGGTCATGACGGTGTTGGCAGGTTGGGTGTGTAGCACGACGCGACGCGATGGCGGCTCGGTTCATCAGCCTGCTAGCCCGTGGACGGTCAGTCTGCCATTGGTCATGTTTTCATGATACTCACTTCTTCCTGTAATCATCCGCAACCCTTTTCCAGTATTCTATCTCTTCTTGGGGGGTACTGAAAGATGGTGTTTCTGCCATGACTCTCACTGACACTGTAGGCACATTTACCCGTAGATATAACCGATTAAGACTCAAACAACGAGAACGCGAACGATGCGATACGTGTACTTAACTGTACTCTTGCGACGAACTTGCACTTACATATGATAGCCCCGAAATGACATGTAAATTAAAGTTCCGCCTCTGACCATGTTGACATTCCTTTATTGCATCATAGTCTGGATCATGACAACCCATGAATGGCGCACATAAACCTCTGGGGAAGTGACGCAATATAACATTGATTAATTTATTTGCCTTCGGAATTTGGACTCATAGCTTGACATACCCGATACATTTACTTGAAAAATAAGAAACTTAATTATAAAAAAAAAATCACCTTAAAAATCTTTTCAAAGGATCCACAAAAGTTAGCAGCTTGAAAATTATTACAATGGTTATTGCAGGATGAATGAACTTTAAAACCAGTTTTCAGCAGTTGTCCAACAATAGCTTCATGATTCACGGTCATCAAAACACAAAAAAGGGGGATTTTCCCCAGAATTTCCTTATTCTTTTTTTACCCATGATGGTGACTTGATTTCAGGTATTCAATAAAACAGAAACTGATCATTGTTTTACTTCGTTTCTTTCCTCATAATAGATTTGTGCAAAATGTATATTGTTTGTTTGTCATCCAATCATATTTTAAAAAATGAGGCCGCTCATGCACAATGCACCGTGACAAGTTTATGCAGTGATGCAGTGTGAATTTCAGAAACATAATAAATAATTTGTTGATGTAGCGATGTTTTTATCGGCCCCCGTAGTCAAGAAACTGGTGTCGTTTTATGACAGTATTTGCATGTAGCGATCAAGGGGCGGGAACCAGTCTACACGAATCATTGAAGAAACACGAAGCTGACGCGAACCGCCGTGTCGGTTGCAGCAGCAGTTTCTACTGAGAATCTTAGTTTTTCGTTCGTACAACCGTAGAGCAAGGAGCAACTTCAGAGAATAAACGTCACCATGGCTTATTCGGCTCGCTTATCATTTTCACTGCAAGTAAGTTTTGAGGGTTACCGTGATCCAGAACCCTGGCATGCCGGGTGTAAAAGTGTTTTGTTATTTTGCCGGTCTTTGGTCATGTACAGTATGTCGTGCGACGGTACACGTACGTACATGTATGATGTAGATGTAGGCATGCGGCACCGCACTCTGAGTCGAGTATGTGCATTTTTTGTTAGGCCAAGGCCCAACTGTAAGTGTTTTTGGTTTCTTTATGTTCACCATTTACAGATCGTTGTACGCTTTCCACACTTACTTGCCATTTTCTTGAAACAAGAGGGGATAGGGCCTAGGCCGGGGCCGCACGGACATCCGGGAGTTTCACAGAATTGCGGGTAGCAACCACACCACGCTGATAAAAATAAATGCAACGAGCGCACGTATGTACTGATCAAAGAAAAGATTGTATTACCCGATCCTCCGACTGGCAGGTGCGTGCGTACGTTGCCATGGTCGTTGTTATCACCAGTACAGGCAGTACGTGCCATTTTGCAAGAATCGTGAATGTCCGTGCTGCCCCATAACATGTAGGCCTAGGCCTACCCTCATGACCTATATATACTGTCGGACTAGCCCTAGTGCCAGAGTGGGTTCGTTGTCTACCAAGCCCCCACAGGAGCACAGCAGATGACAAATCCCAGAGCTCTAGTAGGAGCAGTTTCAGGCCAAACCGGTTGTACTAATTAACGTCAACACAACGTCAACACAATGTCAACACGTGATAGTAACGTCAACACACCCAAATCACGTTCTAAGTTAACAGAAACGCAATTCGATAGCAATATAATGCCTAAAATACAATTTGGCTGACAACAGTAGGCGACATTTGGGGGGAAAATGCCGTTTTATTTCGCGAAAATAACACCCTCTGCACAACCACGAAAGATGGTAGCCATGTTGCCTTGATCAGATGGACCATACCATTATGCTACAGGGGGTCACCTTTATGCAGTAAACCATGGTAGGGTCCAAACGCCGTGAGAAGGCAAGATGGCAGCGAAGAGCGGCGCTGCTCAGAGACAATTTTTTCGCGTGAAAAAAACTCCCTTGAAATGTAGTAAAATGTAAACTCGATTAAATAGAAATTATTCCTAAGCGTATACATTACAGTTCGATACGTCTGTTTTCTGTTTTCAATGCGTTTTGTAAGTGTTGGCGGTGTGTTGACGTTACTATCAATGTGTTGACGCGTGTTGACTGTGTGTTGACACTGATTAGTACGACCTAACCGTTAATGTTAGAATCATGGATGTAAATGGGGCTCATCACACATGCAGTGGAAATGACGAAATTAAATAAGTTTTCAAGTGTCATAAATGTACACTTTAAACTAATGACACTGTTTTGTTAGTTTTTACGTTGACTGCAGCAATGGCTGTGAAGATTGGTTGCCGTAAGTTCTCATGCACCAATCTGAAGCATTGGAGACAGAAACCAGACCAGCCTGTAATGAATGCATCTCAAATTCTATTGTCTTTTAATAAATGGAATCCTCTTGGGGCACAAATTTACAAGAAAAAAAATCTCTGGGAAAGTGTAACCTGTAGGATTGGACTGAATAAGAGAAGAAAAAAAACAGAAAAAATGTCAAGTACAAGTTTTGCCCTTACACCAATGTATTTTAACAATGTATACTCAGTACCTGGGTGGGACTCGAACCCACGACCTCATACTTACATGTACTAGTGCAGACATCTTAACCACGCGACCACCGAGTTTGCTGGTGTAGGCTTGCCGGTCTGAGTCAGATATAGCAGCAGGTACTGCAAAACCATTTCAAGATGTATGATTGTTGCACCGCTATTGCCTATTGGAATTCAACACCGTAATCTTAGCCTTCAACACAGCAGCCACAAACGTCGAAAGTCTTGGTACGGTTTTTGTAACTGCAGACACAGTGTACTTTTTAAACTTGTCCCCTGGCATGACCGATGTCTGTTCATCACGGAAACCTTTAAGAAGTGTTAGCTGTGAAATGAAGAGTCACCGTTTTTTAAACTTGTTAAATATGTTTGTTTTAGTGCCACCCAACTCACATAGACTCAAAAGCAGTAACGGTCCAGTACGGAATTCTTGCCAAATTTGGACTCTAAAGTCATTATTTTCATTCAAATGAATCCCCCAGAAATAATTCATTTCTCAAACAAATATTGAGAAAAATCAGTTGTTTCTTATCTTTATGCTCATTTTTTTCCCATTTGAATTAAAATTGACAGATTTTGAAAGTAGATTGGATTTGTGATGTTTACAGATGCAGTGTGCTTTTGCGACGAGAGTTCAAGCTCGAATGCTCCAAACTACGACCAATGCCTGCCAACGAGCGAAGGTACAGGAATTTCACCAGATTGCCCGAATAAATAACTCAAGTTAGATTTCACATTTTAAAAAGTGGCGTGCAGGAGTCCTTCAACGTGAACAAATCAAAAAGCCTTCAATCCTAACAGAAGAAGGTTCGTTAACAGTTTAAAAGAAAAAAAAAACCCTCTTATCAGTATTGATAATGTTAAAAATACAGCATTGAGGGTAAACAAATGAATATTAAGCATGTGGAACACTTGTGTTATGCTAGACAACCATGAAACTCTGAAGGTTTTCCAGAGTAAAAATTATTCCTTGCACTAAACACCAACGGGTGTTCATGTCTGTCGTTGACCTTTTCTGGAAGTGGCACACAGCTCTTTTCAATCCCAGATTCCATACTTGAAACTGTCTTCAAAATAGAAACGTTCTCAAATATTTTGCTTTTTCCAAGTTGTTGAACCAAACATTCACTACTGTTCCTAGCACCGTGTTGATTTTCTTAGTCCCTTTCTGTATTTTAAAATCAGGTTTCTATGAGTCGATTCGATGAAGACAAGTATATCAACTATGGTACGATGGAGAGCAAGTTGAAGATTGTCCAAGATCGTCTCAGGCGACCTTTGACACTGTCAGAGAAGATCGTTTATGGCCATCTAGAGGATCCAGAAACTCAGGCAGGTGGACATACATGGAATGCACCCAATTCTCCTATGCTACGTTTCTTTTTCTTGGTTTCTTTTTCCCCTATTCTGCAAAAAGCCAACATTTCCCATCTCTGACAGTGCTCTGTAGTCAGTACTGAAAATGTGAATGTAACTTGAATTGGGCGCTTTGCTTGGTCGTGGAAGGTAAATTTGTGTTAGCCTCATTGGAGTGGAGATTGAATTTATTTGTCTCTGAGTAGCGATTGTTAACCTTTGTCAATGCAGGACATCCAGCGTGGGGAGAGTTACCTGAAATTAAGACCCGACCGTGTGGCCATGCAAGACGCCACAGCACAGATGGCTATGCTGCAGTTTATCTCCAGCGGTCTGCCAAAGGTTAGCAACGAGTGTTAGTACTGACATGGCGAGAATGCGGATTTGCTTCAAGCTCGCCGAGTGTGAAAACTTCCCTTGATGTTTTCTCATATATCAGCTTTTTTTTTCCTGTGGAGTATTATGTAATTGACAGTTGCATCGTGGTGCGCACAAAGTGATTCAGGCTTTTCCATTAAATTTTGTGCACTATAACTTCTTTGTTTGATCTTGGATCACAGATTAATCCTTGTTCTAGCCTATCAAAGTCCAATGGATGGCTTAGGAGGATTTTGTAGGATTGATGAAGGAAGAATCTTACCATTCTTTTGTTTCCCATTAAATGTTAAAGCTTAACCCTAACCGTGCTGAACCCAACAAGGTTATGCAGGATTTCAATGGTCCTTAGGGGGTTAGGGTTAAGGAATCCGCTGATGTTTACTGCATGGTAATGGATTTTGAAAGGTTCAAGATAGACCCTCATAACACTTTCTTTGGAGTTGGTGTAGTGTAGTACTTATTTTTTTGGGATGGACTTTTTCTCAGGTTGCGGTGCCTTCAACTATTCACTGTGATCATTTGATTGAGGCCCAGTTGGGAGGTGACAAAGATCTGGCAAGGGCTAAGGTAAGAAAGTAATACGCATCTAGAAATTCTTATTTCACCCAAAATCGGCAGGGTTGAACTGATCATTAGATTAGCACATTGGATGAGCCCCGAGCTGGACCGAGAGAGGGCGCAATTTTCCTAGCAACAGCGGCTCCTATGGTGGGAAATGCCCTTTGTCGGTTCACAAATGACAACAAAATGCATGCGTTACGGTCGTGTCGCTAGCAATAAAATGAAGACTCCCTACCAACATGGCTCTTTTCAACCAATGAGGGGGTGCTTCTGCTCAAGGCAGATTGCTAATCTAACACTTTGAGCTTCAAGTTAAATGAACGTTATCTCGTGTACTCATTTTCTCTTTGTGTAAAGTATTATGTCTTTTTCAAGGTTCAAGTTCCGATTCTAAATCTGTTTATTGCAATTCTAGGATCTGAACAAAGAAGTGTACAACTTCCTGTCAACAGCTGGCTCCAAATATGGAGTGGGCTTCTGGAAACCGGGCAGTGGAATCATACATCAGGTAAATAACATATCTTGCCAAACAAGTATTTTCACTCTTTTTGATTTGTTTTTAAAAAGCTGGACGTGCGTTGCTCTAGTTGTGTGTCTAGTTTCAATAAAAATCAAGACCTCAAAGTCACATGGTGAAGTACTCAGCAACTTTTTTTTCCCAAATGTTTGTTGACTAAAGCATAGTAAGTCTAGCATGAGTGTATTTCATATTTTTTTTTGCACTTCTTGGCTTAGTCAGATTTCATTGTTGGTTACTGTCTAGATCATCCTAGAGAACTATGCCTTCCCTGGCGTCTTGCTGATTGGAACCGACAGCCATACCCCCAACGGCGGTGGTTTAGGCGGTGTTTGTATCGGTGTGGGTGGAGCTGACGCGGTCGATGTCATGGCAGATATTCCGTGGGAGTTGAAATGCCCCAAAGTAAGTAGGGCAAAGTTTCTGTAGTTGGGTCCGTCACGGGTCCCTGTAAGTCCATCCCAAGTGGTCTTAATTTAAGCCCATGCACAGGCTATTCAAATGAACTGCAACAAAACCATTGCTTTGTCACTGTTCACCCTGTTAGGTCTTGGCTAAGTCACTTAAAACCTATGTGCCTCCCTCCACACGGAAATAAATAGGTACCTGTGAGGACTGATCTGGTCATTACGTTTAGGCCTTGGAGCCCAATGTGACATTATCCCCAGGGAGCTGAGATGGTCTCAGTATTGTTCCGATGTGAGCTCGATGTGTAGAGATGATGAGAATGTATCATGCCTTTGAATGACAAATACCATTACATACTGTGAGCCTTATAAGTGCTCTTATCTTAGAAATATGATTTTCTCAAATTTCTAGCTTAAATCAACAGTCTAACTGTTACTTTCATTGTCTAGATTTAATTTGTAACACAGTGCCTGTCATTTCATAATATCAGCTAGACTGAGAAAATTACTTGATTATGTCTTGATGTTGGGTATATCCGGGGGGTTTCAGTAGTGTTTTTATGGGTGTAGTTTTAATCAAGCATAAGTGAAAATAAAGTTTTCCATTATGGTATTTGGCAGAGGCGATGAAGTATGTGACGGCCGATATCTCAATTGTTTTCAAACTTATTGTCTTGTTCAGGTGATCGGCGTGAGGTTGACTGGAGAGCTCAGTGGCTGGACCGCTCCGAAAGGTAAGGAAAAATTACAGAATGAAGTAATTTGAGGTTTATCCCAAGGTTTTATGAGGTCTAGCAGGGTGTTGTGGGGTGACCCTCGGTTACATTTTTTTGGTTACGCATCCGTCCTTGATTATGATGCTGCTGTTTCTATATTGCTGAAATGTTAAACATGTTTTATACAAGGTCTGAAAATTCCTCTTTGTGCACAAGTCGGTATTTTCCTTTCTCAGTCCGGCTGAAAATAACGACAAGAAGTTGTCTCATTCTTGGACGGTTAATACTTCAATAGTTAATCCTCTGTGTCTCGCATATCGATCTCATCGTTTGTTAGAACGTTTACCATAAGCATCACTTGGGAGTTCACAAATTTCTCATCGTTTGTTTGAACGTTTACCATAAGCATCACTTGGGAGTTCACAAATTTCTCATCGTTTGTTTGAACGTTTACCATAAGCATCACTTGGGAGTTCACAAATTTCGTCATCTCTTAGAAGAATGAGAAGTGTTTCAAATTTATCAGAATTGTTTGATTTCATGTGAAATTTTGTTTGGAGAGCCACGTTATAGTGCAACCAATAACGGCAACTGTGCAAACGTTCTGTCAAGCAATTAGCAACTGAAAGACCGAATTATGCACTGATATGTGATCAACTATCAGTATTGTATTCGAGTCCATCACAAGTCCCTTCACAAGTCCCTTCGTCCCTTCACAAGACCCTTCACAAGTCCAGTCACAAGGCCAGTCATAAGTAACAGAATGAACAATGACAAAGGAATGCTTTTGTCACAGTTCATTTAAATAGTTTGTGAATTGGCTTAAGACTGATGGACTTACGGAGACTTTTAGGGACTTGTGATGGACTCGAATACCACACTGACAACTGTCCACCGACTATATGACAGGATTTTATTGAGATATTGTGTGATATTATCACCAGCTCCGTTATCATGTGATGCTGTATCGTGTACAATAAGACCTAGTGTTGTTTGTGTCTAATGACTTTTCTCCAGCTCTGATAGATCTTTGGTACTACTATTACTGAACATGAACCCTTCCAACATTCCCAGATGTGTTTAAGGAATGTTCTATTGGTTTCCTGCACACTGAGAGATATATCCAAATTAAGGAAGTTGGGGTCAAGGTTACAGTTGAACAGTGTTAATGATGTAATATTGTCTTCCATAGATGTGATTTTGAAGGTTGCTGGTATTTTGACCGTGAAAGGAGGCACAGGAGCGATTGTTGAGTACTTCGGACCTGGTGTGGATTCCATCTCATGCACAGGTAGTTCATTATTCAGTGTTATCTTGAAACTCTAAGAGTATCAACATCTTCTGGACTGTACACCATTGGAGAGATGTAGGGCATTGCTAACATTAGCCTCTTGTTAATATGTTTGCACAGTTGGGCTTTTCTTGTAGTATTGTAGTCGAGCACTTTTTGAGTACCAAGGTTCTCTGCCAACTGTTTAATTAGTTAGGAGGGAACAAAGCTGGAGTACATTTGCATTTGATGGTATGTGCATAAAGGTAAGATTGAATAATAAACGTAAAACTTCAGACACTCCCAGTTACGTAAAATTAAATTTTTAAGGAGAAAAGTACTCAGAAAGTACTTGGCCGAGTACACTTCGAGTATTTTTGTCCTAACAACTTAGTTTTATTGAACAGTGATGATCTGAAGTTATCATTTTACTTTGTAATCTTACCTTTGTGCATTTACCATCAGATGCCAATGTACTCCAGCTTTATTCCCTCCTAAGTAATTAAACAGTTGGCAGAAAAACTTGGTACTCAAAAAGTACTCGACTACAACACCGCTTCTTGGTCAATACAGCCTCTTCCCTTAGGGGAATTGCTTTGAGTTAACAATTTGTTGGACCAAATAACTATATGTAGTTGTGTTTCTGCCTTCTTCTTTCTTCAGAAGAACTTTAAATGTCAATAGTAAGCTTTAAAAACATTCCAAAACTAGAGCCAATGATTTTCCGTTTCAAAAATGGGTATTTTCCATTTCGGCAAATCCTGAATTCTGTTTAAGAAATTCAAATACTGTTTCATATCTTCGTAAGCATGAAATAGGAGAGCAAGTTTTAAACTATGCATGGAAGCCATTTGCCCAACCACATCGCCCCCCTCTGAAAGAAACGAAATAAAAATAGCAATAAGATTGTTTGGAAATATTCTGCAATGTTTCCGACTTTTTTTACAATTTCTGTCGTGAAAATTAAAAAAAATTCCAGACAATAAATATTTGCTGCGATTAATCAACGGACAATTCATGTGCCACTCCTCATGTATGACATCAGATTATGTACATGTACAGTGAAGTCACAGAGTAGGTCTTGCATGGAACAGTCGTTGATCACAATATGTTAATGTTGGACATCGACCCACCATTTTATTTGGCAGTAGTGCGACAAACTTCAGAAAGTTTACATTAAATCTGAGCCTTAAAATGTATGTTTGTGACTGAAAACTTCACTCTTTATGAACACTTCCGAGGGTCCATTCAGCTATGGTACACCAAGCTCACTAGGTTTTGTTAAATTCAAGAAATATGTAATTAGTTTTCCGTTTCGCTGCCGCGGTTTCATTGTTTCAAGGCGTCCATGCGGANGCTGGCAACCTACTGTGTACACACTGAACCTGTGCATGTTTGTGTTCCATATGGAAAACACATGCAAGAGAGTGACTGTGGGCACTCGTGCATATTTGTGCTGTAAAACCAAAGGAGGGTTAACTGAACATGAACCCTTCTAGCATTCCTTGATGTGTTTAAGGAATATTCTGTTGGTTTCCTGTACACTGAGAGATATTTCCAAATTAGGAAATCAGGGTCAAGGTTACAATTAAACAGTGTTAATGATGTAATATTGTCTTCCATAGATGTGATTTTGAAGGTTGCTGGTATTTTGACCGTGAAAGGAGGCACAGGAGCGATTGTTGAGTACTTCGGACCTGGTGTGGATTCCATCTCATGCACAGGTAGTTCATTATTCATTGTTATCTTGAAACTCTAAGAGTATCGACATATTCTGGACTGTACACCATTGGAGAGATGTAGGGCATTGCTAACATTAGCCTCTTGTTAATATGTTTGCACAGTTGGGCTTTTCTTGTAGTATTGTAGTTGAGTACTTTTTGAGTACCAAGGTTCTCTGTCAACTGTTTAATTAGTTAGGAGGGAACAAAGCTGGAGTACATTGGCATTTGATGATACGTGCATAAAGGTAAGATTACATACTAAACGTAAAACTTCAGACACTCCCAGTTTCGTAAAATTTAATTTTTAAGGAGAAAAGTACTCAGAAAGTACTTGGCCGAGTACATTTCGAGTATTTTTGTCCTAAAACTTAGTTTTATTGAACAGTGATGATCTGAAGTTTACATTTTACTTTGTAATCTTACCTTTGTGCATTTACCATCAGATGCCCATGTACTTCAGCTTTGTTCCCTCCTAACTAATAAGCCATTTGTGAGTTAAATTGTTAGTTAAATCGGGTACACTGTGTTATCTGACTGCACATAAACATGACAATTTGAATTCCCCAGACTAAAGACACTTGCTATACCTTGTGATTCGGGACAAGCTTTCACATAGCGACCATCATCTCTGGAATGGACTGGTTCCTTTGTGCCATTCTTATCCGTTGAGAACAGTGTGTTGTTGCAAGGCGTCTCTTATGTAACTAAGCAAAAGCTTGCCACGAATCACGAGGTAAAGCAACAGCGGTTTAGGTAAGGAGAATTCGAGTTGTTGTGTTCACATGAATTTAAAGAACTCAGTGTACCAGATTTGGGTCAAAGTTAATTTGCAAAAGGCTTATTAAACAGTTGGCAGAGAACCTTGGTACTCAAAAAGTACTCGACTACAACACTGCTTCTTGGTCAATACAGCCTATCCCCTTAGGGGAATTGCTTCGAGTTAACAATTTGTTGGACCAAATAACTATATGTAGTAGTGTTTCTGCCTTCTTCTTTCTTCAGAAGAACTTAAATGTCAATAGTAAGCTTTAAAAACATTCCAAAACTAGAGCCAATGATTTTCCGTTTCAAAAATGGGTATTTTCCATTTCGGCAAATCCTGAATTCCGTTTCAGAAATTCAAATTCCGTTTCATACCTTTGTAAGCATGAAATAGAGTAAGTTTTAAACTATGCATGGAAACCATTTGCCCAACCACATCGTCCCCCCAAGAAAAAAAACAAAAATAGCAACAAGATTGTTTGGAAATATTCTGCAATGTTTCCGACTTTTTTATAATTTTTGTAGTGAAAATTAAAAAAAAAATCCAGACAATAAATACTGCACACCCCACCCCTTGGTTTCCCACTGGCATGCGATCGGCAAAAACTTGCTATGATTAATCAGCGGACAATTCATGTGCCACCCCTCATGTATGACATCAGATTATGTACATGTACAGTGAAGTCACAGTGTAGGTCTTGCATGGAACAGTCGTTGATCACAATATGTTAATGTTAGACATCGACCTGCTATTTTATTTGGCAGTTGTGTGGCAAAATTCAGAAAGTTAAAATTAAATCTGAGCCTTAAAATGTATGTTTGTGACTAAAAACTTCACACTTTATGAACACTTCCGAGGGTCCATTCAGCTATGGTACACCAAGCTCACTAGGTTTTGTTTAATTCAAGAAATATGTAATTAGTTTTCCGTTTCGCTGCCGCGGTTTCATCGTTTCGCGATGCGGTACTAGCCTTGTCTCAAGGCGTCCATGCAAATTCACAGACTAAATTCCCCACGTGTGCCACTGTCATATGTGTGAGTAAGAACTTGTTTGCGCCTTGATTTCATTGCTAGTGTGGTGCGCGTGTGAACGGCCAATGTTTGTATACACAATGCACCATACCGCGCCGCTGCTGTGTCGGCTGCCGCTGCACGAATGGGGCCCACGCATGCCATAGCACTTACAAGTATCGGCACCGGCGTGGCGCGGGCGACCCTGTCATGCGGTGGAGTGGTGCAGTTTAGCATGTTGCCAGCATAATTGGTTCATTATAAAGCAAGCATTTGAAAAGAGTTTGGTGAACATTTATTTTTTTGGAATTTGCAGAAATTTTTCTTTACTTTTTAAGCCATTCTTAGAGGGCAATTTTGCAAGTTCCGTTTCAAGTGGATTCTGTTTCAAAGTGTTGATTCCGTGAATTCCATCCGTTTTCCGCGATCCCGGAAAATCATTGGCTTTACCAAACCTCCAAGGTTGCTGTATTTATTAATTGGCCCACGCTTCATGGTAACATAAACCGATTCAGTCCACCACTCTTCTAAAAATGTCACCGGAATGATTCCGTCCGCTGACCTCTTGTGAGGATTTTGAGAATCTCTTAAGAGGAGGCACCAGTAGATAGGGGAGGGGCTCAGTTGACACGCTACCTCAGCTGAACGGAGGATGCAATCCCCTGATAAATCTTGGCTGTAATGATCAATCTCAGTTCACAAGTCTCTGTGTTTGTCAGATTGATGAGAGTGGTTTTTGACTCTTCTGTGCTAGGCATGGGGACAATCTGTAATATGGGAGCCGAGATAGGGGCCACCACGTCCGTCTTCCCCTTCAACAATCGTATGGTGGACTACCTCAAGGCTACCAACAGAGAAGGTATGTGTTGTATTTATGGGTTCTTTCTACCCAGTAAATGGGACAAAAGGAACGGACTCACCAAACATTGGTTTAGCTTTTCATGGGGGCTGCCATCTTTTTTCTTTATTCACCCTGCAGTCACTGTTTTAATATAAAACATGTAGTTGGTGCCTGGGTACACATCAGTATGTACCATCAACTAGAGATCTCCATCGGACAGTCGAAAATCTGACAGAAGACCCACCTGTATTCAGTCAATTAAGGATTTAGCAAACTACTTTCATTTGTGCCATGTCTGCCAGACGTGTTCAAAATTGGGTTCTGCCTGCTGACCAAACTGTTGTAGAGCAGCGAAGTGATTACGTCATATGCACAGTTATGTGTGTAAAAGGCATCAAGGCGAGAACCAGCATGTGAGCCAATATGGGCACATACTCCATTGATTTGCACTTTACTTCCTGGTTTGAAATGACATCACACTTGGGCCACTCTGTAGCACGACACCTAAACGTATTCAAGATTGTCTTGGGCGTACAGTCTGATGTTGAGTCCATAGACCATAATGATGGTTGTCAATTTCAAAGCTCCTCTTCATGTTTCTGGTCTCCGTAATCAGCATACAACATGTACGTTTGGCTCCAACGCTGTATAACAGGTCTGTGTGCATGAACGCACTTTAAACAGGGATGAACTGTAATCAGTCGACACAATGAAGTAATGGAAAGGCTTCTTTATGTAGCAGAATTATGAAATTGGGAGCTGAATTCTGTACATGTTTGATGATTACGACTCTGACGTATCACAGTTTTATTTAATTAACCCTCCTATGCTGAAGTCTTTGGGTCTCTTT